ACAAGGACCAGCACTACATAGGTCATTCTTTGCTAAATTCCTTCTCCCACAGCTGCTATGTGATCAGGCCAAAAACTAAGAACTAGAACCTTGGGAGATTCCCAGGACACTGAGGCAAACCTCACTGCTTGGTCTTCCCCAGAGAGAGAAAATGGAGGGAGGGTGGGTGGGAGCCAGCCCTGGCAGCAGACCAGTCCTGTGGAGCATCTCAGGGAGCAAAATCTGGCTATTTCTGGAAGAAGGTGCACCAAGGCAGGAAAGACCGCATTTGCTCACTGGAGGAATGTGAAGGCTAAGGATGTTTCTCTAGAAACCTCCACAGTTCTTTCCTGCCTGGCTCACAAGAGATGTGCAGCAGGCAGAGGGGCGATGCCAGCAGAACCAGCCCTGGAAACCTAGCTCCACTCTTACTGGTTGTGTGACCTCGGGCCAGTCACTACCTCCCTGAACCTCAGGAATCTTCAATGCTACAAGCGGGTAATAAACTTACCTTGCAAAACTGTTGTAAGGATTAGGAATAATGGATGCAGAGCCCTCACCCCAAGCAGGAGAATGAAAAGGGCCTGTGAATCATTCCAGAGGCCTCCTGTCTGTGGGAAGGAGACTTGGGCCTGGCTCAGGGCACTGCTCATCCATGGACATCTATGCCAACGTCTCAGTGCCCAGGGTAATGGTCACTTCTGGTGCCCAGGACACCTCCCTGGGTGGGAAGGGAAAGCCAGGGGTGGCGGTTGTGGTCGAGGCCTGTGGTCAGTAGGGGACGGCATCTGCTGAGTCAGACCCAGGAGAGCTGGCTGGAGGGCCATTTCTCTCCCCAGCACATTGACACTGAGGGGAGGTTGGGTGGGAGCAGAGGTCATTTCCTCTGACTCTGCTGCCATTCTCTGTCCAGAGGAGCTCCCTGGGTCAGGGCATCTCCATGTGGCACTGGCCAGCCTGCAGCCAACCTGCATGCCACCCAGCACAGTTTGGGCTTTGTGCTCAGACAAGATAGGGACACTTGTGATCCAGACAATGGGCTGGGGTGCTCCCATCTGGCCCGGGTCAGCAAAGTCCTTTCCTCTGCCCCTGCACACGCTGCTCCCACCCCTCCCTGCAGAAAGGTGGCTTGGAATTAGTACAGACCCACCACCGGCCCAAGCCACGTTTGGCACATGCCCTGGCCAGGAGGACAAGAGATTCGAGCTTCTGTCCTCTCCCCTGGTAAGAAACATCATCTATGGGGTACCCAGCTCGGGTTGGGCCATTTCAAAGGCAGGTGGGGGTGGTGGTGGTGGGGGTGGCGGGATCCGGATCCAGCTTCCTTGCCTCTTCCTGCCAGGGCCCCCCTACCTTTGCCACCCCAGGGGCCCCGCTGCGACGACTGCAGCCACGTGGGAGCCAAATCTTGCTCCAAGGTGCGCTCACCCCCACCCCCACCCTCGACGGGTTGTGGAGGCAGGCACACCCAAATGGGCCAGAGGGGTGAAGTCCCCCGCCCCAACCGTGAGAGGGGTAGTCCCCGCATCCCCTCTCCTCCTGTGCCCGGGGGCTGAGGCCCCGCATGGGATGGGGGAGGGCTGGGAGAGGGTGTCGCCGCCCCACAGTCGCGTTACCGAGGAGCGAAACCCCGTTGCTGTGACAACCGTTTCCAA